CTACTCAAAATCTTTCATTGTCCTGATGTGAAAAAGTTTTTTTTTAATCAGATAGGCATGAAGACTAAAAATCATCTGACACTTCAATTACTCTTTACCGAAAAAAAGAAAATGCCTACCTACCTACCCACTGTCTCAACCTTTGGGTAGGGTTTGGGCAAACCAAAATATTTTTAGGTGTGGCCGGACTTTTTTTTTTGCAAGTGTCTCATCCTGCCTTTTTTTTTACTCAAAACTCCTGTCCTGCCTATTTTTTTTCAAATTTCATACTAGCCCCCCCCCCCCCCCCCCCCCCCCTAAAAATCAAATGGTAGCTCCCTATATAACTTTTTCAAATTAACTTGGATTTTAATAAAACTCTACAGCTATCTCAATCATATATTGATCTTACAAAATGCAAGGTTATTTGGAAGTCAGGTTTATTGCTAGCTGTAAATGTAAGGATTTACTTAAAAGGTGAAAAAGCAAGAATTTTCAGTTCGAGCTAAATTCACAGCTATCTCAATCATATATTGATATTACAAAATGCCTGGTTATTAGTCCCCTACCGTCAAAGTCGAAGGGGACTTTAGGTTTGCACTCCGTCCGTCTGTCTGTCTGTCCATCCGTCAGTCTGGCAAATCAGTTTTCCACACTTTTTTTCTTGGTGCTTGAAGATATTGATTTGATTTTTGGTGTATTGTTTTATCATGACAAGTTACAGATCAAGTTCGAATTTTATTTATCAATTATTATGTCAATGATAGACTAGGATTTGTTTTTTGTATATATGTATCTGCTACAGCATGGGAATTGTATAGGAAATACACATGTATTTAAATATATAGCCTACTACCTAAGATTTTGTTCTTACTAGATACAAAATAAAAGAGCCCCCCACCCCTGACAGTTCACAAAAACTCGTACAGTAAGGCACCTCTTAGTAGACTCGACCAACTGAGCTAAAAAAAACTTCACCAGAGCAGCTAATAGAGGACAGGTTTTTTTTCTTGTATGCAAGCCGAGACGGGTGCTTGTGGCGTTAAACATATATATGTATGGTTTATCAATGCTTAGACTTTTTACATGTCCCATTCAAACTATGCATAGTTTGCACCCCCTTATCAAAATCCTTGATCCACGTCTGGCAGAGGGAAGCAGTCAGGGGCGGATCCAGCCATTTATAAAAGGGGGAGGGGTTCCTACATTTGTAACCCAGGATAAAGAGGGGGGGTTCCAACTATATGTCCCCATTCAAATGCATTGATCGTCAAAAAAAGGGGGGTTCCAACCCCCGGAAGCCCCTCCCCCCCCCTCCTGGATCCGCCACTGGCAGTGCTATAGTGAACAGTTTAACTGTTTATTGTACTCTTTAATTTCCACGATTACGATCCGACCTCAAGTCATAAAGCATATGAGGCACATCTGAAAACTTTGACAAACGTCACATATTTCAAATATTCATGGCTATAGTTACAATATGACGACGAAAGAGATTTAAAAACTATTTCCAAACGATTAACAATCGAAGCGATAAATTTTCAGTCCCATTGTTTTTATTTTTGGATACCCTCGGGACCTTTCAATGAACCTCATTCAAGTAAATATGTTCCGCGTGCGCTGTTCAGATTGGATAACTAGAATTCTGATTGGTTGAAAAAGTCACATGCAAAATCCTTCAGAAGTGAAACCTTATACGAGTAGTTGTTAGATCCTCGTATGTAGTATAACGTAGTATAACGAAATCCGAGATCTATATTTTAATTAGATTGCTAAACGCCATTCTTATGGTCCATCAACATATAATGCCAGGAATCAGCTAGCAGCTATTGACCACAATGCTCACTGCGAAAGAAAAGTTGTTGCAAACAAAGATGAGACTGAAAGGTTAGTATATAGCTGCAGATATGTTTCAAGTAAGGATTAAGTAATTAAGTGGATATAATTGTGATTCATTGTTTTGTATATGAATTATGCAATTGTTTTTTGTTTTAAATATTTGACACTGGCCATGTTGTGGGTCTAAAGACCGGCCTTTATGGCTTACTTAGCAGTGTGCCCTTAGGCTCAGTGTTGAAGGCCGAACTGTAGCCTATAATTTCTTACATTTACAACATTTTGGTTTGGAGAGTTATCTTATTGACAATCATACCACATCTAATTTATATATATTCTGATATAATATTTAAAAATGAAGACAATGTTAAAAAAATGTAAAACTTCATGTTTGTGTGTTGTTTAAGTTGATAGGTTGTTGTCTATTTGACATATACCCCATATCTGATGTTTTTTTATGACTTGTGATATCTCTTATTCAATTTTAAAACTTCTAAAGTACTAAAGTAAGAAAGGGGGAAGGGAGACTGCTACTGAAGTGAGGACACCAAAACAATAAATCAAAATTCCAGAATTAATGAAGCATATAATAATGAAAAGGTTGTCCGATGATATCGGGATGAGCAGGAGAGTGATTTAAGATCCATTGGACCCAAGAAGATTGTCATCAAACATTGCCCCTGTTCCACCTCCCCCTACACAAGAATTGATGGCTGCCAAAATTTCGAGATTTAACAGGGAAGATCTGGACAAGACCATAGACTACGATCTTGACCAGACAATAGACTACGAGTGGCCAACTAACTAACTGTTAATGAAATTGAAATAAAATTTATTCCTCCTCAACCAAAACGTCCTCCAATAAATCCAACATATTGGCCAGACGGGTCTGGGAATCTGTCCCTTATAGCCCAAACACAGCAACTTGAAATTACTTGTGTGTTCCGAGCTCCAAGATATCCATGGATCCACAGAACATATTGGCGGTATGCAGTGTGTCTGTGGCATATATTGTAGTCCTGGTTTGGTAGCTGAGCAATCATGTCATTTCTGTATCTCATTGCAACCTCAAGAACCATTTTTAAAAGTATTGGAATATATCCCGAAATAATGAATGTTCAGACCATAGACAACTTTTAACTATGTACTGGATATATTCAGTACACCGAATCAATTTCCAAAACCTATCGTGGTGGTCTTGATCACAGGAAGACAGAACCCCATACAGCAACACATAACACTCCGAGAGGTGCATTGGCAATGTGTTTCAATTATACCCGAATAAATTACCTGCTGAAAGACCCCCATCTGTTTTTATATTTCAAGCCACTTGCAACGAGTGCAAAGCTTGTATGGTTCAGTAGGCAACCAATTGGTAAACACAAGCTTGAACATGTTAAGGACATAATGAATGGTGTAGGAATAGATGGGTTCTTTACCGTCTCCGTTTTACGACCGCAACTAGATTGTTCAACGCTGGAGTTCCAGAAAAATTTCAAATGGGACACCACATTAATGCAATTCGGTGCTATAATAGACCAAGTGAAGGACACAAGCGACAAGTGTCAGAAATTCTACAATTGCAAAAAAAATGATGGTGATTACGTGCAAGCCAAAGAAACCGAAACAATGAAATGCGTACAGGTAAGGGAGGGAACAAAATCCGTGATATCCGAAAAAACCGTAGTCAGGAGTAATGTCCTTTGTCTTCAAAGACTCGAATTTTAATTCAATTTTAAGTAGACATATACACGTGTTTCATTCGATTAATTGTTGATAAAATGTATTAAAATTAATGATATTGAAAATTTGTTCTTTCTACAGATGTATCTAAAAACAAATTCTGCATTATTTGTTACCCAAAAAAACAATGAATTCGACCACATTCATCACTTTTTACATTTATTTTGATATTTTTTGTTGGTCCCTATTATTTCATTCCAATGAATGAAAATTTACCATCATGCATAACCGTCAATTATAACACTATTTTTATTTATATATTACAGTCATGAGTAAGGCGACGTGCAATCCTGAATAACAGCACAACAATATCAGATGGTTACAAAGTAAAGTTCTTCTATGTTTTAGAGAACAAGAACTTTATGTCATCAGAAGAGAGTGAAACAGTTCTGACTCTGATGACGTTTCATGCATGATTAAGATTGTTAAAAGGAAACTCATGTAGAGATCAAATGATTGTATGATGTTTAGTAACTATTAACCAGCTCTTAAGATTTAGTCATGACGGTTTCGTCTTTTTTTTTTGTGTAGCATTTTAAGCTTGTCTTCCGTTAATGCGAGTATTTTAGAAAAGGTGTTATTTATGGTAGCAGAAACTTGAAGAGAAAGCAAATAATGTTCTTGACAATTTATACTTAATAAGAAAACTGGTACATTTAATAAATGTTACGGAGATCTGATTACAGAAAATATACTTAATAAGAAATTTGTTTTTAAAAACGATGAGGATGACCATCGAAGACACCATGAATTTTTGAGAATACCAAACAGAGTGCTGATAAGAGGGAACGACACATACGATATAGGTTATCTCAGAAAAAGTAAGACTTATATTGCTTTATCTTGTAGTATTTAAACGAACATAATTAGTTTTGTTTTACAGTGTTTGTGATTAAATAAATCTATGTTAAGATGTTGAATACTTTAGTCACAAATTAATTAATAGTTACTTTTTTTTTATGAAAAGAGAAAATGGAAACATATTAAACAACATGTAATGTTAAAGTTTATTTTTGTTTTATCTTTTACAGAATGTCACAGAATTTAAATGAAGGATTTACTTTATGGATGTCGTTTTTGAAGAAGTCCAGATTTTAATTGTATCACATTTGAGAGGAATAACCTTAACTGACGCAGATAAACTTCTTTATCCAGTTAAAAGCACAACACTCATTACGGTCCACCAACTCGTGATAGCTTCTGTATAAGTGACAAACGAGAAAACATATGGCCTGAATTATTTTCAAAACAATAAGTGATAAACGAGAAAACATGTGGCCTGAATTATTTTCGAAACAATAAACGAAAAGAACAATTATGATATATTGCAACTATTTTAAAGTAGCCATTATTAGAAACAATTACTCTAGATGATATATAAATTCATAAAAAGTTTGAATATTATTTGTTCAGGATTTTTAGTCTTGTGACTTTTTTGTCATATCAAATTTGTGACTTTTATGTCCTGTGACTCTCTGTCCGTTTACCTTAGAATTCATATTATGTACACAGGTAAATGAAAATTGTGTAGTATTAGAGAACGGAAATCTTTTTTTACAAAATAAACAATTTAGTCGTTCATAGTAGGAGTGAAAATTTATAATCATGAGAGTGGTTGTTGTCTTTCGTCATCACAATTTTCTGATATTACTTATACGACACATGATTTAAGTCAATTAGGTACATATGTACTAATAATTTCTATGACTCGGAGCTGATATGCTTTCCGTCGTACCAACAACAACAAAATTGTTTTTCATTCAAGCTGTCATCCTAGTTCTAGTAAAAACGTTCTGATGTGCTGAAATGGTGCGAAAGTATTTGTATAATATGAGGACAATCTTTGTCTGGCAATATTATATCGTTACTGAAGAAATAGCTGAAATACATGCGTCTGATATCAAAAAGCGGAAGTTACGGGTAGCTCAGACATTTCAAAAGGAAAGTTGAAAGTATGCCTGCAGGTAACAATAGAACTGAGGAAAAAATGTGTTTTTCATTTACATTGACCCAGTGTTTGATTCAATTTAATACTCTAACATCATGAATATTAGTCTTTGGTCATTAATCCTCCTCGAGTTGCTTTTGTCATTTAAGGCTTAACATTCCGCACCACCAGCGACAAAATTTTTTTTTCATTTCGTTCTAAATATAATGAAATTTGATGCGACTGTCATAAATTAAATTAAAAGCTCAGAACGAAAGAAATATGACCAATAACAAAAGAAAATTGTCTCAAGAAGTCCACATCAAGGGGAATCACCTAATTTCAAAGTTTACAAACACAGTGAAGGCAATTCGCCTCAAATACAATATGCAAAAAGGCAAGGATTGAGCCTAAATAATACTAAAACTAAAAAGCCCCAAGTCACTCAATGGAAAGGGCAAAAAAAATGTTTTCCCCGAGTGAAACACTGATTATTACCTCAAGGGTAAAACAGTTCCTTTTACTGACCCTTAATTCACTACATTATCTCATTATTACTATGATAGGAAGTGTCAATGTTCAAGCTATCGAGATCAAACCACTTAAGAACAGTGTACTGGTTGACGATCCATCTGAATCAATAAGGCGTTAAATACTTGAATATAGTTGACTTAATCTTACCACATCTCTTTATAGTTACATTGTGACCTGCAACATATAAGAAATGCATTTTAAGACCATCCATAGTTAATGGATTTTTTGGGTAACAATAAAATTAAAATAAAGTTCTTCTTGATCTTGTAAATGAGAGTATATATTGCTTAAACACCAGTTATGGATCATCTTCATTCAGATTGAAGATTGGAAAACTTAAAGAACACATATTCATATTAAACTTGCATATTTTGAATATTCCATTACTTTGTCAGCTATTTTCACAATAGTGTGTAACCGCAAAGCATGGGCATTACCCTCATCCCCATACAAAGCAATGGAAAAAGCATTGAAAATGCAGTTCCCATTTGCTTTGGTGGCCAAGCAGATCCTCTTTCCAATTGAGGCTGGCATAAAATCTTTATATCTGAAAAAGGAAAAGAATTATGCAGTGATGCTTATCAGTTAAATACAGAATATCATGTTTATATTCAACCTATTGTGGATGAAACTTTGACCAAAGTCTTAAGACATACAGGAAGTTGATGAGAAACTCATACTATAAACTCACTACAATATGCCTATATTGATTGGTGTCAAATACTAATATGCTTAGATTGTATTTGCTGGAAAGCTGGATAGAAACAATGAACATCGTTTATTTTGCGGTAACTGGATTCAGGTTGTATTATTATTAGTAGTTATTATTTACACATGCACTACATACATAGTTTTAATTGTAAAAAGTTACTTAACATTGTTGAACTGCAATCATCTGCTACTAATAGTTGTGGATCTCGGGAGAACAAAGAAATGTCTTTTAACGTAAATTTAATACCTTTGGTTCACCTCAATCAATTTTGGCACATTCCACTCCTTTGCAAGGGAAGTAGGAATACTTGGCATGAAAGGTATCAATTCGGCACTCAGTGCCAACAACTCATTCCAATCACCTTATCCAATAATTCTCAGAAACTCAAGACTGTTTTGAACAGAATTCTGTAAAAAAAAAAAAGCACCAATCATAACTTAAAGCAAGAAGTAGGGTTTGAGCTTAAAATACATACACACCACAAACAAATAAATTAAGAGGCTCAGTTCATGACAATTCAAATTACACTCATCCTGTGGTGGTCCAAACGATTTGTTTCATTTATTGATAGTTGTGACACTGTATCACTTCTTATGTGTTTTAAATCTTATTCATCAGATCAAAAGAAAACCAAGCAAGAAATATGTTCAGCTGCTGTCCTTTTTTTATAAGCAGTCTTTTTGTCTTAAATTATCACTGATCAAATTTCCATCTTGAAAAATCACAATATTACATCGTTAAGTAGTTCCAAATTGTTTTTCATCTTCGGATTTATTTTTATCACCTTGGCAGGGATGATATTGAGCTAATTGCTAGTTCTACATTACTTGAAATATAAAATAAAGAGCAGTCAATTTCCTTATGGTCTATTTTGATTAAAACTTGTTTGTAT